ATGAACCGACCGGTTTAGACCGGATTTTTGAGCTGTTCAGTATTTTATGATTCGGTTCGAATCCTGTACAGTATTTCACTTAATTATTCAGTCCAGTTAGTTCAGTTTACCGGTATTAATTCAGTCCGGTTTTATTTTCAGTCAAGTTAAACCCCAAAAATATTTCAGTTAAATATTTAGATCGAGTCGAGCGTCTTAACAGCTATTTTCAGTCAGTCTGAGCATAGTACTTAGTATTTGTTTATTTATATATATTTTTCAGATTGATCAGCAGCAGCATTTACATATAACAGTTCAGGTGGGAACTCAGACTAAGTATTACATTGAGTATAATTACACTTATCATGTTCAAGGTATGTATATTCAGTTCCTGCTCAGTGAGGCTAGACAAAGTAAGACCATCTGAGTTCTAGCGGCGTAATCTGCCCACTAGAGTGTGCACATAGGCGCGGCGCAGTATATTATAGCCGCCAGATACAGTATTAGATCCCGTAGCAGTTACAGTTGATCGCAACTATAGTACATGACACGACAGTTCAGTTATATATGCTTTAGACCATGATATTGCAATTATTATTACTGTTTTACTTTAGTATGAGTTTCTGCAGAGCATGGTGGCTTTTAGTGCTCAAGCCCCACTATATTATTTTTTTTTAGGTTGCAGAGTCGGTCCGGAGGAGTGAGCGGAGCCGGTGGTTGTACTTCGTTTATATAGACTTTTGGACATGTATATATATGTTTTGCCACGTTTTGAACTTCTGCTGAAACTTTCAGGTTTACAAACTCGCATGTAAATATTCAAGTTTTGTCAGTCAGATTTTATACAATTCTACATGCCTGTTAACTAAGATAGTCCGTTTTTCTTAATACTTTAATTCGGGAAAGATAACGGATTTTAAATAAGAAGGGTTTTTCAGTAGCACCTCGAATATTGATTTCGCAAGATTAATACGTATTTTTAGAAAAGAAATTGCGAAAATTTGACTCTGATTTTATTAAACTAGCGGGGTCTTACAAATGGTATCAGAGCACGTTTTTGTGTATCTGAATACTTTATTAAGTTAGAAATTTTCAGAAAGGATCCAACCACGCTACGCTCACGCCTCGCCGACTACAGGTAAGTGCTGAGTTACAGTTTATATATATTTAAATGGATACTTTAGTCTATGCTCAGTGAAAGGGTGTCAGATATTTAACCCTAGAAGTCAGTAAGATGCTCGAATTAGTGGTCCAGTATAAGTCAATTGTCCCAGTTATTCGACATTTCGACTTTAGTTTCTCAGGATTAATATTAGCAACTCGTCAAGAGATCTGTGCGCATTAATAATCAGTAAAGTATTTTATCATGTCTGCGTCTGATTACGTTGATCTTTTCCAATATTCAGATGCCGCCTCGTAGAGAACCAAATCATCAGGAGCTCCCTCAGGCCACAGTAGTCGCACACTTTCGCGACTACCATCCAGAGAAGTTTTACGACCAAGGAGATCCTCGTATAGTGGACGAATGGGTTCAGGGCCTTGAAATGATTTTCGAGGTCATGGACTGTCCTGATCGATATCATATGTTATGCGCACAAATCCAGCTGACCGGTGATGCTAGACTCTGGTGGAATGCCTATTGGAGTATGCGTCCCGGAGAGAAAGAAGGTTGTACATGGGACCAATTCAAGAGGTTAATCCGTGGAAAGTACTATCCTTCGTACTACCGAGCAGATATGGAACGCCAGTTTTTGGCACTCCGACAGGGTACTCGTTCTGTCGACGAGTACGAAAGAGAGTTTACCCGACTCGGATCCTTTGTACCTGATCTTGTAAGTACAGAGGAGAAGAGAGCTCTTCGTTTTACCGACAGACTTCTCCCAGCAGTCCGCCACAACATTGTTGGTCACGGCATCCAGACCTACGCCCGCACAGTCGCCATTGCCCAGGAGATAGATGCCAGCATCCGACGAGAAGCCCATCCGACCTTAGCCCAGCCAGTTGTTCAACCACCACCCCAGCCCAATGTTGCCCAACCATCGAAGAACCAGAAGAAGAGGAAGTTCAGAGGAGGTCAAGACGATCGCAAGAACCACCCCGACAACAACAGACCCCACTTTGTGCCACTTGTGGACGACGCCACCGCGGAGAATGCCTTATGGGCCAGAACATCTGTTTCTTTTGTCGCCAGCCAGGCCATATCAGCACCAACTGTCCCGAATGTCTGCAACAACAACAGCAACAACGACAGCCACCTCAGCAACCTCAACAGCAACCACCCAGGCAGCAACCACGACCCCAGCAACAGCAACGCGGCATACAGCAGTCCCGCGTCTTTGCACTTGATCAGGGAGAGGCTGACCAGCACACAGGTACCATGTCTGGGATGATTATTCTTAATGATGTGCCTGTTTATGCCTTATTTGACACTGGAGCAACCCATTCTTTTATATCACGCCGATGTCTCGAAGTTGTAGGAGTTCATTTTCTTACCACTATCAATCCTCTCGAGGTTAGTTTGGCCTCAGGACGAAAGATAGTGACAGACGCCAGAGCCACCGATCTCAGCCTTTCCGTAGGCGGCCGTATTTTGACTTCTGATGCTTATGTTATCGAGATGAGGGATTTTTACCTCATACTCGGTATGAATTGGCTAACACGTTTTCACGCAGATATCTGATGTCATGACCGGGAGATTACTCTTTATCTTCCGGGAGATGATAAGATCACTTATTTCGGCTCCAGGACTCGTACTCTGCCCCATATTATTTCTATGGCGAAAGCCAGGAGGATTCTTTGACGGGGCGATTGCCAGGGTTACCTTGTGAGCCTCGTTGGAGATGAGCCAAAAGCACGGTCACCTCATGACATTCCTATTGTTCGTGAGTTCGTGGATGTGTTCCCAGATCAGCTTCCCGACGGTCCACCTAGCCGACAGGTGGAATTTTCTATTGATCTTATCCCTGGAGCCGGACCCGTTTCTAAGGTGCAGTATCGAATGGCACCTAAAGAATTACAAGAGTTAAAGACCCAAATTCAAGAGTTGCTGAATCTCGGTTTTATACGACCGAACGTCTCACCTTGGGGAGCACTCATTCTCTTTGTCAAGAAGAAGGACGGATCTATGCGTATGTGTATCGACTACTGGGATCTCAACCAGTTGACGATCAAGAACAAATATCCGCTTCCCAGGATTGATGATTTATTTGATCAGTTGAGGGGTGCCTGCGTGTTTTCTAAGATTGATTTGCGTTCAGGCTACCATCAGCTGAAAATCAAGGAGTCAGATATACCTAAGACATCCTTTCGTACGAGATACGGTCACTTCGAGTTTGTGGTTATGCCGTTTGGCCTCAGTATTGCCCCGGCAGTATTCATGGACTTGATGAACCGTGTATTTCATCCTTTTCTCGATCAGTTCGTTATTGTATTCATTGATGATATCCTTATCTATTCCAAAAGCCAGAAGGAGCATGAAGAGCATCTGAGGGCCGTTCTTGAGACCCTTAGATGTGAAAGATTATATGCAAAGTTTTCTAAATGCGAATTTTGGCTTCAGCGAGTGGCTTTTCTTGGGCACATTATCACTCAAGCAGGCATTGAAGTAGATCCTTCCAAAATTGCCGCAGTACAGAACTGGTCAGCACCAAAGAATCCGTCCGAGGTTCGTAGTTTCCTCGGCTTTGCAGGTTATTATCGCAGATTTATTGAGGGATTTTCGAAGATTGCCCTCCCTTTGTCCCAGTTGACGAGGATGTCTGTGAAGTTTGAGTGGACAGATCGTTGTGAGTCAAGTTTTTAGGAGCTGAAAAGAAGACTTACGACGGCACCAGTGCTGACTATTCCTGATCCTTCTCGGAGCTTCACCATCTATAGTGATGCTTCGAAGCGAGGTTTGGGGTGTGTACTTATGCAGGACGGCCAGGTTGTAGCATATGCTTCACGTCAGTTGAAGCCCCATGAACAGAATTATCCTACTCACGACCTGGAGCTAGCTGCAGTGGTACACGCACTTAAGATATGGCGGCATTATCTCTATGGTGGTCGATGTGAGATCTACACCGATCACAAGAGTCTGCAGTATATTTTCACGCAAAAGGAGCTCAACATGCGTCAGAGGCGTTGTTTAGAGCTTGTTAAAGATTATGACTGCACGATTCAGTATCATCCGGGGAAAGCATGTTGGGTTCTGTTAGGAACGTCAAACAACATGCACAGTATTGAACTTTATCGAAATAAATCCTAACGCAGCGAAATCTATAGTTAGAATATGGACGTTTACCTTTTAATATTTTTGCCGGCTCTGAGACGGTATAGAGTACCGTTGGTGAAGTTCGTCTGAACACCACAACCTAATGGGCGGATAGGTTTGGCCTTTAGTTGATTGTAATCAACTCGCCAAACGGATCACGAACGGATGGTGCGCGGGTCTTGGTCGTCGGTTGCAGCGGGCTGATCGCGGGCAGGTACGCAGGTCGCAGCGGACGTGTACTGGCAGCGTGCGTGTCGCGGGCGTGCACTGGCGGGACTCCTAGGCGGTCGCGGACTGGCGCTGGACGCGTGCGTGCACGCTGGGCAATACTCCTATGCCGACGCAGACTGGGTGCTGGGCGACTGGAACGCACGCGGGCGTGATGCGCACAACTCCTGGACGCAAGCGGACTGTCGCGCACGTACTCCTTGTGCGCTGGCGATGCGCAATGGCGACTGGCGGCAACAGGCGAGCAGGGGCGCTGCGCGAACAGGCGTGTGATGCCTGGACTTATCGCGCGGTGGTGCTGGGCGTTGCTGGTTGTCGCTGGGAACAGACGTCGGGCCTGGCGATGCGCAGCTCGCGTGCGACGGCTTGCGGTTGCACACGGCTGGACTCAGGCGGCGACCGGAAGCAGTTGACGATCTCCGATGATGGCTCACGGTGGCGGACGGCGGCGATCGAATGGTGATGATGACCGAATATATATATATTAGAGAGCTCAATCAATTGTACCAAAAAGCCTTCTAATAGATTACCTAAATACCTATTTCGATTAAACTTGGTGGAGCGTTTAATCGGATCTCCCAAACTCTCGAACAAAGAAAATCTCACGTGTATGTAGATGAGAATTTCGGCCAAGACAACCCTTGTAGAAGAGTATGGGACATGGTGTATATATAGGCTCCATTAGGGACCTTAAGGAGGTGCTAAATATGGGCTTATTCCATTAGGCCTAGGATTCCTAATTCTAATCCAATACTAACTCAACCTAGGAAGGAGATCTCCTACTAATCCCTCCCTTCTAGAAGACTCCTAAGTCTCCTAACACTAGAGAAGATCCTTGTAGGATTTTCTTTTTCTAATTAAATTAATAAACAGGAATAGTATTAAATCCTAATTTAGGAAACCTAATTTTACTCCAATTAATTAATATAATGTAGGAAATATATTTCCCACCAATCTTCATATTCTAGAAGACTCCCAAGTCTCCTAATCCCAAGAGAAGATTCTAGTACGAATTTTA